GGGGAGCCGCCTGTCAAATGGGCCGGCAATTAGACACAGCAAGACGCACTAAAGCAAGTATCACCAGTACAAAGCATTTAGGCCATAAAGGAAAAAAGCAAAAAGCAAAACAACAAAAAAATCTTGAATTCTGCAATTATCTCATGCAGTAACAATGTAGCCAGAAGAATCCCTTGGAGAGAGAAAAGAACTCATTGCTGTTTTCCTGGCCTACAACATAAGTGATACTAAAAAACGGAGGTGCAGCCAGCTAGGATTCTTCCAAGAATTGAATCTCAAGTGGTTGTTAGATATTTTATTTTATTTTATGCAGGGTAATCAGTGATTCAGAGCAGGGGGTGTGGTCTCAGTGATTAGAGGCTTAGAGGCCAGAGAGATTGCTCAGGCGTTGAGCTCGCTTCTACCAAAACCTGATAACTCGTCACAGCGGCGCATTTATCTCTTCAGGCCACACTTTGTTCTATCTGGACAGGGAAGAAGATCGTTTCATGTTTGCATTGGAAACATACTGTGCTGGGAGTCAACGCTTCTCTTGCTGGGGAAAAGCTTTCCAAAATGTGTTGGTTCTCTTTTTTTGATTCCAGGCAGCCCAGCTGGGTGCACTCTGGCCTGGGTGTCCGGGGCTGTCTCTCAGCATAACCGTCCACATCATCCCGTGGGGGTAGTAGGGGTGGAGGCATTCAGGTCCAGGCCCTCCCCATACCTGAGATTCTCCGATTTACCCTCTTTTCCCCACACCTGCCAACTCACCTCTCAGCAGAGAACGAGACCTTGGAGCTCTTCAAGCCTCAGTTTACCCAGGTACAAAAAGGCGTTAACAACACCTCTATCACAAAGTTGTTGAAAGGATTAAACATCCCCAGGAGGATGGCTAACATTTAATGGTATCTACCCTGTGCCAGGCTCTGTTCTAAGAGCTTCCTTTACCCATATTAACTCATCGAATTCCCACAACAACCCCATACGGGGGAGCATTTTTAGGTGTTATTTCACTTATTCTAAGACACGCCTTTTCTTTCTGCATTTTAAACACCTCTGAAACTGGGACACATCTTATGATTGAAAGCAAATAATGGCTTAATTCATAGGGTTTTCTTTCTTAATGGCACAAGAAAATTATGAAGATGACGTACCTTAAAATGAAAGGCTACGTGGATCAGATAAAATGTGACACAACTGTCTCACAGAGCAGAGAACAGAGGCATGGATAGGGACTGATTTGCCCAAGGTCACACAACCTAGTGAGTGGCAGAATGGGGGGTTCAAACCCACATAGATTGCTGAGGAATCTGCTCTTTTCATCATTAAGCTAGGATATGAGCAAAACACCCAGAATGGTTCCTACAAGTGTCAGTGTCTGCCCAAATTAAGGATGCTTCTTTTCTCACTGGTTTTTTTTTTAAATGACAGCAAGGTGTAAACTTCAGGCACCAAGAGACAGAGCTTCTATAAAGGATTTCAAACCTTTCTAGTTTTTGCCAAATGCTATTTCTGCATTCCCATTCTACAGCATGGAGGGGGGGTTATAAGCACCTCTCTTTTTTAGCCTTTTCCATGGCAGAAATTGCAGGTCTGTGGTAATCCCACACACAACATGCTTTTTCCCTCCCCCATGTCTAATCTCATTAGTCTTCTTTTGCTTCCTTGGGGAACAAAGGAAAAAGGGACTCCCTAAACAGATTAGGAAGCCCAACATAAGGGCAAGCTAGAAGGTTTTTTCAACAAAAGACCTTCAAACAGAGGATTTGCATATGTTATTTATATTCCCTCAATTGAGGAAAAAGAAAAAAAACAACAACAACACATGGAGATGCCGTCCAAGACAGGTGCCAGTTTAACATTGGTTATAATACAGCAGCCACCATGCATGGGAGAAGGGGAAATGGCTGGTTTTGGAGAGCTTTGGTACCCTTGTGGGTTTTTTCCTAAGAGTTGTCCATTACACTAACATGCAGTGGATTCTTAGCATTGCAGCCCAGGGCATCCACACCTGCTTCCCCTGAGATGCCAGATAACTCCTTGCATCACTCCTCATGGGACACTTAACTGGCTGCCCGGCATTTTGTTTTTCTGTTTTCATGTGTCACTCCCTCTCTTCCTCCAAACAAACCTGGAAACCATCTGAAACCAGTGATAGTGACTTGCACCTTCTTTTCTGTAGCCCCTGTGACACTGAACAGGACAACTACTTATCATGGCTCGATTAGCATGGTGGGATAGAGAGGGCTTGAATTCTGGAGCCAGACAGATCCAAGTTCCAAGTTCAAATCCCACCTCTGCTCCTTGCCAGCTGGGTGTCTTTGGGTAAGAGACCTGTCCTTTCTGAGCCTCCCTGTTACCATCTATCTCATGAGGAGGTCATAGTTCATACCTTGAAGGGTTGTAGAAGATTCTGAAATATCACATTTTTTCATGAAGAATTTTTAGCTCAGAACGTGGCACGTGGTGAATACGCAATGCATACCAACTGTCCTCATCATCATCACGATTGCAGTTATTAGCTTGATTTACCCCAGACATCAGTCCTAATCTCTACATATTTTTTGTGCCTTGACACTCTCTAGTTAGTTTATGTTGTGCTAATTAATGCTTTACTGTAGCTCTACAAACTTGAAATTCCTAATGGCACGATCCTTTGCACGTGAGCTAAAGACACTCTAGAGTCTTCATTATTTCCTAGAAAGTGGGAGGGGGCAGAAGGACTTTCATAAAGATTTTGTACCTGAGATCTTAGTCTACCCAACGATTCCCTGGAAACCTGCTTCCCATTCCTGACTTCCTTACGTTTCACTAACCTCCTCCCAAGAAAGAAGTGATCATTCCAACCTCTGTATCTTTCTCTACTCTCTTCATCTCTGTATGAATGCCAGGAGGAAAACCCTATTGCATTTCCTTGAGTACATGTCTTCATTCCTCCCCAAATTCAACACACCCACGCATGTGTACACACAAGTCTGAGTTAGCTGTCCCTTTTCTTGCTCCTACAACAGCCTATGCTACTTACGTAGCAGATCATTAATCACCCCACATTGTAATGATGTTTCTTATCTCTTTCACTCACCGTCTCAAACATATACACTATAGATTATGAGATTTTTGAAGGCGAGTCTCATTTTTTATAAGAGCAACTGTTTCGCACGCAACAGAAATTCCATAAATCCGTGCTACATAAATGAAATACCAATATAACTAAAATCTGGGGTATTCCTACTACGTGTCAGGAACTGTGCTAGGAGCTTTCGGCATACCTCTACTCGTTTAATGCTCATGGCAATCCCGTGAGGAGGTGATATCCCCATTTTACAGATGGTGACACTGATGAAGAGAAGTTCTGCAACTTGCCCAAGGCCACAGGGATGCTAAGAGGCAGATCCAAACCCAGGCTGTTTGTGTCCTCTGCCCCGGCTCTGAGGCTCACCTTCGCTGCTGAAATGTCTGTCTTCCTTCTCATTCTTTTTCCATTCTCTTTCCCTCACCTGCTATGCTGGGAAATTCAGCCCCAGAAGGAGCTGCTCTAGATCAAACACACTTTGGGGCTGCATTTTGAGATGAAAGGAAATTCGGGAAGGCTGTATCTTGCAGAGTGACCTTACTAAGTGGGCTGAGCAATGAGGGATGCAAAGAGATGTGTTAAGCCTTGGAGAAGAGCAGCTTAGGAACATTTTGGACACACATGTAAAACACTGGTGAGTTTCAAGCTCCACTTCAGGTACTGATGCCCCTACTCTGGAGGTCTTCCTTCCTGGGGCATGTCTGTGAGCCACAAGGTGTGCCACTGTGGGTGGACCGGCATTGCCCCCTCACACTGCTTACCTCAGGAAATCCAAACAACATAGGGGTTTGAGAGTACAATAACAAAGACACACTTATACCATGTTTCCCCGAAAATAAGACATGTTCTTATATTTATTTTTCCTTAAGAAGACACCCTAGGGCTTATTTTCAGGGATGTGGTGTTGTTTTTTTTAAGTACGGTACAACAATCTACATTTATTCAAATATAGTTAAGTCGTCTTCTTCTGGAACATCATCATAACTCTCCAAAACCCGAATTCCATCCTGAATTTCTTGGAACTCTATTTCCTTTGGAACCATTGGCTCCAATCTCTCATGTCGAGCAATAGAGCTCTCATGGGGCAGATGAGAAGGGCTGCTTATCTTCTTTACTGCTTCGCCATGAAATGCGTGGGTTGTGCAGATGCGCTGCGTAGCCACACCCATCACTAGGTCTTATTTTCAGGCTAGGGCTTCTATTGCACTAATGCTTAGAAATCCTGCTAGGGCTTATTTTATGGATAAGTCTTATTTTTGGGGAAACATGGTAATTATGCCTACCCAGGTATGATCATTTAAAAACAGAAACCCTTGACTCCAGTCACTCAGTACATACCAATTTTTCTTTGTTTTTCAAATCAACCACACTGTTTCAAGTCCCATATACACATTATCAAGTGTTAGCATCACACTGGGAAATTTCCATATCTTACTCTGTTTAGTCCTCACACTGTTTCTGCCTAGTTGATGTTCCTCTTCTAATTTCACAGACACAGAATTAAAGGCTCAGGAATGCTAAACCACCTGTCTAACATCCCATATCTGGTGAGTAGCAAATCCAGTCTTCAGATCCCTAAGTTTGACACCGTGCAGCCCCTCCACAAAGAGAGAGGTTGTGCATGTTCTCTGAGCCCCATGGAGCTCTGAAAATAAGTTCTGCGGCAGCAAATCTATAATCCATCCCATTTTATTTCCTGATACTCTACAGTGTCACTGCTGATTTATTCCATAATTTTGGAATTACTGGCTGATGGGATGGCCCAGCTCACTGTTCTGGTTCGTGTTTTCATTCTTTAAGAGAAACCATTGATAGCAACAGGGATGTGTCGTGACAATTTATACCATGACCCTTCTCCCTTCCCCTCTCCCTTGTTGGTCCAGAGGCTAATTGCTGTTCCGCTTGTTCTTGAAAACATGACCGGTTTCGGCAAAGAGGGGAGACTTACCTGAATCCCATTCTCTGGGACATGAGGGGACCAGACAGTGTTGGGGAAACTCTGCAGCTTCTTGGTGGCTGGTACCTTGGTCATCTTAAAAATCCTTCAGGCTTTTAGCCTGTGTCTCTCAGGGGAGGTTTTTTTTTTTTTTTTTTTTTTTCTTCAGAATCTTCTACTTTGGCAGCCACTGGTGTGAAAGTTTCCGGTAATCTCTCCCTGATTTTCAAGTCCCAATGACATGGACTCCAAAGGCGTTTCTGTTTGGGGAGTAATGGGGAAAGCAAGTCACCTAAGTGCCCCACAGACAACAGAAGGAAGTCCGGATAAGGCGGAATCAGGCAAGCCTGGGATTTTTTACTTTTTTGGAAAGTTACAAACTTTTATGAGCTTTCCCCTTCTTCGGAAGGGATATCTTTCTCTTCTATTTCAAAATGAAATATGAACTAAAAAAATAAAACTCCAGTGACAAAGTGTAAGGGGGGCCCCATGGAGGGGCCCTGAGATCCCATCCTCCAAGAGCTCCCTCTGGAACTACAGCGGCCCCAGCGGGGGTTTAGCCGGGCCCAGACAGGGAAGGTAAGCGGCCTCTAACTGCAAGGAGAGGGCCCTAGGGGTTGCCTAGCAACGGGACGCCGAGGAGGCCGTCCTGATTGGCTGGGATTGGTGGGGGCGGGGTCGCGAACTCCGCTCTGCTGCTGGGAGGTAGGCTCTGAGCTGGTGGCTGGCAGGAGAGCGGACATTCCCCAAATTCTGGTTTCTACGCTCAGGACTGATGACCCCCCACCCCTTCTCCCTGCCTAACTACAAGCGACTCCTTCCTTTCAAACTCTGCTCTGTGCTACCGATAACTCACTAGTGATTTCTTGTGCTTTGGGGTGGGTGGCCTTTAGCCCTGCAATTCTTAAACTGAGATCCCTACTTTCCCCCTTTTTCCACCTGACAAACTCCTACTCATCCTTCAAAGTCCATATATAGATATATGTATGCGCACATATAGATAAATATACACACACAAATATACACAGATATATATATGTGTGTGTATATGTATGACATTTATTGGATGCTTAGAATGTGCTAGACAATGTTCTGTTTTACATATACTAACTCAGTCCGCACAGCACCCCTTTAAGGAAGGGGTTTTATTACCCTATTTTAGAGACTAGGCAACTTAGGTAAAGACATTAAATGACATGCTCTGGGTCACGCAGCGAATGCCTGAGTTGGATTTCAAAGCCAGAACTGTATGATTCTAAAGCCCAAACTCTTAATCACTTAGGTGCCTAACTTTGCTGAGCTTTGCCTTTCATATCTTTAAAAGGAGGATGACAGCTTCACCATAGGTTATTAAGAATTAAAGTAGATAATGTATATAAAGGCTGAGCACATGGGGGAGTCCTAGTTAAGTGGTACTATTATTATTCCCTGACATTAGTTCCCTAGGAAGAATTAGGCATTCTCACCATGCTGGGTTTGTTTCACAAAAAATATTAATATTACCTAATTTTTATTGATCATGATCACTTGCTTTGCGTTAAGTACTGTATTAAGCACTTTACATACATTAATTCATTTAATCCTTCCAATAACCCTATGGGGTAGGTTCTCAGCCTGCAGCAGATTTATTGCATATGTTTTGGTTTGAATGCCTTCTCCTTGGCATTATTTTACACTGGATCACTCTGATTCATGTTTTATCCCTAAACCTTGAGCTGCTGAGGATTATGATATCATCATGGCCTCATCTTCTCCCTAGAAGGTGTCTACTGCAATATGATACTCCACAGAATGCAAAATACCTCGCCACACAGCTCCCGATGCTGATGCCTGAAAGTCATTATTTTCTCACCATTGTCTGCAGACTGAATCTGACCTCCCCTTTCACAGGAAGTTTTGGTCCTCCTGCTTCCTTTGTGGGCAGCAGTAAGCAATCAGCAAGTGCTTTTGGAACAATGCAGATAAATGGAATCGTGTTCAGAAGATAGAGTTGGGAAGGAGGGGATGAGAAAGCAAGATAGGATGGGAAATGTTCAGCCCTGAGCAGAACAAACAAAGACTTGTCTTCATAGGGCTTTCAATAGGGCTTGGCAAAAAGGGATCGAATGAGTTTTATATAAGCCCAAAGAATAGGAGGAGGGTTTTGGCTCAATGTGAGGAAATACGTATACAGCAGAACATCATTTTAAAAGGTGTGAGCTCTGGAGTTGCACTGACTTGGCCACTGACTATAATGAAAACCAAATGAAATAATCCATGCACAGCACAATGTTAACACAAAGGAAACGCTTAATACATGGTAGCTCTTATTTCTTATTAATATTCACCTGTCAGAGCCATGTGAGAATTGGAAGGAGGAAGGGATTTTGAATTGAAAAGACCTATGTCCAAATCCTGGCTCTGCTGTTTACTGGCTATAAGACCTAGGTCAGGTCACTTCACTTCTCAAAGCTTCAATTTTATCATTTATATAAAATTCATTTATAGTGATGGTTATGCCCACCTTATACTGTTACTTGGAGTACTAAGTAAAATGATAAATGTATAGAACCTACTACCTATTAAAGGCTCAATACATTTTATTTCCTTTACCTGTCCAAGAAGGGTCTATTCCACAGGGAGGGAACGCGCTCCCCAGCGCTAGAGGTATTTAACCAAATGCCATATGGCTTTTTGATGGGTGAAAGAGACTCAAATGATCACTCAGGAGATATTAGACTTGATAACATTTAAGGCTCTTTCCAAACAGAACTTGAGAGACAATAGGAATACTAGTTGAGCCAATATTTAAATCCCAACTTGGCCACTTACCCACTGTGTGACTTTAACCAAGTAACTTAACCTCTCAAAGCTTTAATTTTCTCATTACAGAATGAGGATAATAGTACATACATTAAAATGGTATAATGTACATAAAACATTTAGCATAGTACACGGCATATAATAAATGCTCAAAAAATGTTAGCTATTGTTATTTTCTGATCTTATGGACCAAAATATTTTCTAAAATAATCTAGTACTCTTTGGGGTCAACCAGAGTTAATAAGAACTCCTTGGTCTTATAGCATCTCCCAATCTAGCTGGCTGAAGAAGAAGACTTTCTCTCTCTCTCTCTCTCTCTCAATGGAGAGAGTGTACAAGAGGGCATGTCAATTGGGATCCTCCAAAAAGAAGATGCTGGAATGCTAGAGATTTATTGGAGGAAATGATTGCAAAGGATAAAAGGGAAGCCAGCAGGGGTGGGCAGGGAGAACCTGTTGTAGGGGAGAGGGAAGGAAGGATTGGGTAGGAAGAGTCATACACTGAGATAATTCTGAGTAAGTTTTGGCTAGGCTGAGGGGTATCCCCAGAGCCAAAGCTGCCTGATAGATGAATCCCCTATGGGGCCCTGGTTCTAGGACTCCTACCCTGCTCAGTGACTGACTGAGAGCAGCTGGGGGTGGAATGCATGCAAGGGATTCAAAGCATGCAGTGAATGCAAGGATGCAGCACTTGTCAATCAACTACACTCCCTGTAGCATTCTCTTGGTGAGGCATCTGAGCTGGAGGCCTCCATGATCATTCCAGATCATCTTTTGTGCTGCACAGATTCACTTTGGGATGCATGTCCAAAGATCAGAAATGGGAAGACACAGTCCCTTGGTTGGTCATTGGGCATGAAGGGCAGTGGGACCACTTGTATTTCCACTTCTTGGTTCTTGATCTATCTACTGATCCTACTGGGGACACAATGTGACATAGAGGTCTCTGGTTTGATGCGTATATTTCAAATTGTAGGATAGTCCCCCCTCCCCATCCTTGCAGTATATTGGTTCTGAGCTGGTGCTTCAGCTGCACCTTCAATAGACTGGTCCATAACACTATGAAGTCAGCTGCTTCTGAGTGGTGTGGTATGTGATATACCTGGATCCCATGGCCACTGTGAAGTAGGTTTCTAGTGCTTAGAGTTTCTGTGGGGATAGAGGGCAGTGATGGGAGCAGACACTGTTGGAACCTAGTCCATTCTCCCTCAACACCCATGGTTCCCAAGAGAGCTCCTTGCTGCCATTTCACCTGAAACCTTCCTCTGGGCCACAGCATAAGTTCCCAAATATTCTTGGTTCATGGCACCTCTAAGCCAAAAGAAATATCCCAAGAATCCCATTTTTAAGTAGTACTTAATAAGTATCTATATCCTAACCATTTGAAAAAATATACACATATGTTGAAAGAAAATAGTATCTGTATTTGATTCTTCCTATTTTAGTATGTGTGCTGCCTGAATGAGCACAGTATTTGATTCTTAAATAGCCATAATTGCTTAGTAATGGGGCATGTGCACCTAGCAGCGCACTGCACAACTTCTCAAACCTTGGCATCAGATTGGAAACCATCACCTTCGTTTTCTGTAGCACATTACTTTTTGCACAGTTCTCACTTTTCATCACAGCAACTGTGATAAAAACCCAGCATTTTGAAGGTATATCATGAAAGAGGTGTCATGTAATCTAATGTTGAAACTGAGTGTATTAGTCAACTAGGGCTGCCATAACAAAGTACCACAGACTGCGTGGCTTAACCAATGGAAATATATATATTTTTGCAATTTGGAGGCTAGGCGTCTGAGATCCAGGTGTCGGCAGGGTTGGTTATTTCTGAGGACTCTCTCCTTGGCTTGCAGTTGGCTGCCTTCTTCCTGTGTCTTCATGTGGTCTTTCCTCTGTACCCATCTGTGTCCGGATTTCTTCTTCTTGTAAGGACTCTAGTCATATTAGATTAGGGTCCACCCTACTGACCTCATTTTAACTTAATTACCTGTCTAAAAAGCTGATCTCCAAATAAGGCCACATTCTGAAGTACTGGGGGTTAGGATTGCAACATATGAATTTTAGGAGGAGACATGTAACCCACAACATGGAGTTACCTTGAGCTGGTCGCTCGCACGGTGTTCAGTAGATATTACTGTGTTTCCCTCCCAAATTAAAAATACCCCAAGCTTCCTCTGTAAATTTGCTGTGACATCCCGAAGCACTTTGGCCCATAGTTAGGGAATGTGTTCTGCCTTTGATCAGAACAGGCTAGAAGTGCAAAAAATGAACACCCGCAGGGACAGCCATAAAGCAATAACTAAGGGGAGTTTGTGCGGATAAATAGCCTCTCTCCTTGCCTCTCAGGAAGAACAACTCTGGGGCAAGTTCTACACTGCCCCACAGGGTTGCTATAGGGGTGAGTTGTGGGCAACCCCTTTGCCTACAGATGTTGCCTATTTACATATATCCCACATTGGCTTCTCTCCTTTTCCTGCCTCAATTCTCCTTTGCCACTCCTTCTGGTACTTCCTGGATGGCCTTCCAGATAAACTACTTATATCCAAACCTTGGTCCTGGGTCTGCTTTTGGGGAACCCAACCTAGGAAAGCATTGACTAGAATAACCAGTGAGTCTGAATTTTTCTCTCTCCATCATCTCATTACATGGGCTTCCTATCTTCTTTGATCGCCTAGTCTCATGATCTCCTTGCCGTTGTTTTCACGGCTACATCGTAAAGAATTTCTTGGTAGTTTCCACATCCCTTAAATGCAGAGAGGCCAACATATGCAAATAGATTCCCCAACAGTGAAATATTTGACAACCGAGAGATGAAGTGATTGTTTAATGCTTAATTCCTGGTTGATTTATGCAAAATATGAACTGAAGGACGTGAAGTGACAGGCATTCTCTCCTCCCAATTTGCCCAAAAGAAAAGTATCTGAAGTGATATAAAAATAGACATATCAAGTAGAAGAAAGATTTTGGAATGTGTCAGACACCAGCTGGGGTAGCTGAAGAGAAATCTCAAAATCTGGTAAACACTCGCATTTCAGTCAGTAATACATATGTTTGGCATTAAAAACCTATTGGAAAAGTCATCGTTTTCGGAATATCCTCAATATGCTTTTCTGTGTTGCATCTAGCACCCAGAAAACTCCTTCTGGGTATTTTTACTAAAATGTCAGCACTGGATTTACAAATTACGGGGCCCACGGCAAGAGTAAAACTCGGGGCTCCCTTGATACTGGGTAGCTGGCAATCTATCGATGAATTGCTTCCAGGTTGAAATACCACTAGATAATGTGTATTTGGACCACCTCCATGGAGTCCTGTACTTTGTTAGATTAAAGAAGGATTTCTGCATGTACAGCACCCCTTGTAGGGGTTTCTGGACCCTCACCCTATTCCTACCCTACCCTCCAAAGCACAACACAAAGAGAGAGGTGAATTTGGATCTTCGTAAACAAAAAGAAGAATATGTAATGTTAATCCGCCTCTCCTCCCCTTTCTTTCTTACTTTGGTATACAAGGCCCAGTAGCAGAGGCTCCCAGGAATGTTTTTAGTGAAGTTCCCCTCCTGGAGTCCTAGCAGGGGTTCAAGCTACCTACAGGAACAGTGCTTTCCGTTTTTACCTGCTTCATGCCACAGTGTCCTGGGAGATAGGACAGATTGGAATCATGGATCTATTAGTTCCATTTGACCAATGTAGACATTGTAGCAAATTCTGGGATTTAGTAATTTCTTAGTGGTGGAGGTTGTTTGAGAAGCCACGTTTTGTAAATTCCAAATTCAGTGATTTATTTCAGCCCTCTGTCACACTAACGATCTTTCACTTTAAGGGTGTGTGCATGTGTATGTGTGCTAGGTTTTCTGCAAGACCTTCTGAGAAACTTAAGACAATTGGGATTTTCAAGCCACCTGGAAGACTAAATTCTCCAGCTTTCTGGAAGAAGCCTTTGCTTTAACATCCACACAGGAGACATCAAGGCCCCGTCCAATGTAGGCAGGCACCTCCCTCCAAGTATTCCCATGAATTTTCAAGTAGCTCACAGTTTCCTGTTCAGTACACCCTCTGTCTTGCTTCCTACCTGTATCAGTAGAATTACATCACCCCGAAAAAGATACGTCCAAGTCTTCAACCCCAGTATCTGTGCATCATTGCTAGCACTGTCCAAAAATCGCATTTATGTGAGCCCACGAAAGCCATTTTGTTATTATTATCTAGGGATCTTATCTGAGAATATGGTCTTTGCAGATGATCGAGTTAAAATGAGATTATACTGGATTAGAATGGCCCTAATGCAATGATTTATGGCCTTATAAGAAGAGGCAAATTTAGACATAGAGAAAGAAGACACACAATAAGAATACTATGTGTTGATGGAGGCAGAGATTGGAGTGATACATCTATAAGGCAAAGAAAACAAAAACAACACCCCCCCCAAAAAAAAAACCCACCAGGGATTGCCAGCAAATACCAGAGGCTAGAAAGAGTGAAGGAAGGATCTTTCCCTACAGCCTTCAGGGAAAGCATGGCCCTGCCGATGACTTGATTTTAGATTCTAGCTCCCGAACTGAGACGATAAATGTCTGTTGTTTTAATCCACAGTTTCTGGTGATTTGTTACAGCAGCCCCAGGAAACTAATACACCACCCATCTTGACTGGAGCTTCATTTTCCTCTCCACCTCAATTTATTTAGGCCCTCAAAATGCTATTTTCCAAAGGCTGTGTGTAGTAGGATGTTACCAGACGTTTGGAATAACAGAAGAAAACTGCCACGCAGCTCTGCAGAGTCAGTAACTTAAAATTAAATATTAGGCACCACTGAATTTTCAATTGAACAAAAATAAAGTTCCCAGGTGATTCTAGCACACAGGTAGGAGTAGGAACCCCTGCCACACATCCTGTTTGTAACCTGCTTTTCCACATGATAAGATATACACATCCTTCATTTCTATAGATGCACTTCTTAAACATGGTTTTCAATGAGTTTGCTCAATCACTCCCTTACTACTGGACAGGCAACAGTCTCTTCTTATCCTGACTCTCTAGCCAGGCAGTATCATGAGGTTACGGTGGTATTTTATTGGTTGCAAAACCTTGAGCTTAACTTTAGCTGAGTGTCCACAGCCCATTGTGAGGCATAGTGCCAGGACATTTAGGCAAGACCTCATGTAGTTGACATAGGCTGCTTTTCCTGTCCAGAACCTACACTTCTACTGGGGAACGAGTCTCACCGTACTCCAATCATGGGATTCTTGGGAGGGTCACAGGAATGGGCTTATTACCAGAGCATGGACAATAGAAAACCATGGACAATAGAAAACTCCTGACTACAGTGAATAGATCAGGTGTAAGGACCCAAACTGGGTCAATCAGAATTTTTTCCCAGAGTATTTTTTTTTTTTTTTGGTAAGGCACTCAAGGAAAGGGGACTTCTTTGCAGGTCACAGAACCAGAGGATATGAACTAGGCTCTGCAAGAGGGCATTTGTGTGTATGTGTGTGTGCGTGTGTGCCACAAAGCCTTCCTGTAAGAGAAGAAAACCAGGCCAACTCAGAGAGAAGCAGATTGAAGAGTGGGATTGAATTCTGTTGAAATTGGTTTGTGTGCCTGGATCCAGGTGGGCTTGAGGCTGGCACTATTCAAAAATTCTATTTACGTGAGTCCTTGAATACCTTTTGTTATTGTTGCAGCTGTGGTTGTTTTTACTGTCTACCTTATATTGAATTGAGATTTTTGCCATCTGCATTGGAAACAGTTGGCTACTTTAACTCTTTTCTACCCAAAGGGTTGTTTCCTGTCTCAATCTCCCAAAATCCTATTTGGGATTCTAAAACACACTGTCACACAAGATGTAGGCCACTTTGCAGAATCGTGAGAGCTAGACTTGAGGGTAGGGTACATCCAACTGAAAGGCAGTATAATATGGGGGGGGGGGAAGAAAGCCTGGGATTTAAGCCAAACAGAACAGAGTTCAAATCTTGATTTGAGTCACATAAATGAGCCATGTAACCTTGGGTAAGTTTCTTAAATTATATAACCTTCAATCTCTTCATTATGAAGAATAAAAATCAAATTTCTCACCAAACTTCTAGGATTATTGGGGGTGTTAAATAACATAATTATCTATTTACATACCTGTATATGAACCTCTATCATCTACATATATTAGATGTAAAACATATGTTAATAGATATGTTAGATATAACACATAACATGAAATAGGTATGAAATAAATTTAACTGTCATTATTAGTTCCCAAGTCCTTTGTCCCCCTGTAAGGTCCTCCCTCTCTTTCTCCCTCTCTTTCTTCCTCCTTCACCCTTTCCTCCCTTCCTCGCCTTCTTTTGTTCAGTTAGAATCCACTGATGGGCTATAGTTAGTCTAAGAATGATGGTAACTGGGAAATAGCCTTTGCAAATACTAAAACCCAGCTTTCATTCAACATTTGCAAATACTAAAACCCAGCTTTCATTCAACTCAATCCCTGACTAGGTTAAGGTGACCTTCCCTTCTATAACTGACTGTCAGAAATAAAAAGTATTCCTCTTTGTAAGGTGACAATACTATTCAGAGAGTCAAAATAACTATATAATTTTTTTTCATGCACATTGTCTGTCAGTCAATCAAAAATTACCAATACGCTGGGAAATAGGCCAAGATAACAGAAAACCAAGAGAAACAAGAAACAATAGAAGCAAACCCAAAGGGCTCTAGATATCAGAGTTATGAGACACAGACTTTAAAATAACTGGGACTAATGTGTCCAAGAAAATAGATATCTCTGTCATCAAGTTCATTAATCTTTTTCTCTTCAATATTTATTAATCCAATTTAATGTAATTTTCATCTCAGACACTGTAGTTTTCTCTCTAGAGATTAAATTTGAATCTTCTTTTCATCTTCTGTGTCTCCACTTAACATGTTCAATCTATCTTCTAGCTACTTAATACCTGTTTAAAGATCCTTGTCTATTAATGACTGTCATTTCTGAGTCAGTTTCAATGAATTGATTTTCATATTTTTATGGGTCATATTTTCCTAATTTTTTGTATGCCTGACAAGTTTTGATTGGATGCCAGACATTTTGACTTCTACTTTGTTGGGTGCTGGATATTTTTGTATTCCTCCAAATGTTCATGAGCTTTGTGTTGGGACATAATTAAATTAGATTCTTTCAAGTATTGCTTTAAAGTCTTGTTAGGCAGATTTAATTTAGGCTAATATTACCCCATTACTGGGGTAAACCCTTCTGAATTCTCTATTTGATGCCCCATAAATGATAAGCTTTTCCAGCTAGATAGCTGGAACAGACACTATTCCTGGTCCTATATGATATCTGGATATTTCTCCTTCTAATTCTTTAGGATGGGTCATTTATAGCCTCAGTTGTTTTCCTCACATTCATGCACTGGTCAGTACCTAGCTGGAGACTCGAAGGGAACCTTCTGAGGATCTCCTGAGTTCTTTTGCAGTGCAGTTCTAGCCTCTTTAGTACTGTTTCCTGGGAATTCTAGATGCCTTGGCCTCCCTGGGATCCCAGCTTCATGTCATCAGCCCAGACACTACCATTCCCTTGTCCTGCCCTGCAGTCTGGAAACTTTCTCTAGTCAGTGAACTGTGGCACTTGTAGGGCTTACTTTGGTCATTGGTTTGCTGTCTCTCAGAGATTACTGTCCTTCATTGGCTGATGTCCAGTGTCTTAAAAACTCTTGTTTAATATATATTATTTGGTTCTTTAGTGTTTTAGGGAAGAAGGGTACATTCAATCTCTATTAGTTATCTTGATCCAAAGTCTATAACTATATAGTGCAATAACTGAAGTTAAGTACTCAATAGTTATATATAATATATTAGACCAAGAAGAAGAGAGAATAGAGATTATCTTTGGGAAGAGTAGGGAATGGCTACTGGGAGGCAGAACTAGAGGGGGTCTATGTTGCCAATAATGTTCTCTCTCTCTTGATCAGGGTGGTGATTCTACAGGTGTGTTCACTTTGTGAATACTAAATGCTGTACATTATGATTTGTCTATTTTTCTGTATGTAGGTTAAACTTTAATAAATCAGTTTATTTTAAAATATATTAAAGCTATAAAAATAAAGCAAATTGCTATATTTGTTATCAAGGGAAAATCTTAAGATTGCCACCAGGATCCAACATCCCATGGACTTTGGAGTCAGTTGGAGCTGGGTTTGAATCCCATGTCTACATTTACTACATATGTAACCGTAAGTACTCTCATCACCTCTCTCAGTCTCCATTTCCTCTTCTCAGAAATGGATGTCATGGTGATACCTATCCCACAGAGTGGATGGAAGGACTAAATGAGACATTTTCTGTAAAAAAATATGTCGGGCACATAGCAGGTTGTAAATAAATATTAGTTTCAACTTGCATATCTATTAATAGTGAATTGATTAAAAACCTGATGTTATATTCTTATGATAGAATGCTACTGTGTTGTTAAAATAAGAATGAGGTTATGCTACATTACTGCTATGGGATGATCTACACATTAGTTTTGGGGCAAGAAAGAAAGAGACAACATAGTCATCAGGAGATAACTCATGAGAGTTTAAGTAATGAGTTACTTACAAAGGTGTAGGCAGAATTACCAGAAACCAGCAGGAGATTGTGCAGTACTTCAAGGCTGGCAACAGAGGGCAGCTGTTCCCACCCCTAGGCCTGAAAAGACAAAGCAGGGAAAGACTTAGTAGAATAAGACTCTAGAAGAAAACTGTCCCACAGGAGCTGTAGCCTTCTGAAGAGCCAACCACGACAACCTGACAGGAAAGGAGCAGGAGGGATAAATACTCCAACCTCACTTTCCCCTTGCCTTGTATTGCAAGTGCCTCCCATTGGAAATTGGCCTGCAGTCATCAAAGCCCAACTATTATAGATGCATAGGACAAGGGAGCCCTTTGACACAGTCCATGCAGGTCAACCTCCAAGAGCACAGGGCAGGGTGGTGGAGGGTGGAGAGTGGATTGGGCAGAAGTTGTGCAAGTCATTGTGCAAAAAACATCCAGCACTATCTTCAGAATATATTAAGTTTTTTCTAAAAAGGATATAAACAAAGTATATCATATATTAACAATTTTATGAAAGAGAGAGTGCATGTGAGAGGAATCTAGAAGGATACATAAGAAATTGCACCAGTGGTCACCTTGGGGTGGGGAGGGGTACTGAGGAGGGGTTGGGAGTAGAAGGGTACATAGGTCAGGGCCCCAATAGGACACAGATGGCAGACTCAAATTAAGATAATACAAGGAAGTTTTATTTACAAAGGGACCATTTACACCGGTGTGGATGTAGCAGAACATAGGAGAAAGTGGAGTAACCCAGAGATAGAATTAATGAAGCTACAGCCACTCCCAATCCTCATGGGACAAGGAGAAGGAGTGATTGTCAGGACCACGAAGGAGACAAATCATGTTGATAAGGCCTCCACCTAGAAGCCAGAGGGCATGGGAGCCTGGCTGGTGACACAGAGGTGGAAAGTGGATCTAGGGGCAAGTGGGAGATGTCTAGCACTGAATGTAACTTACTTGACACTGGTCGCCTTTCATACTGTTTGAATTCTTTCCTAGTGTGTATGCATTATTTAAAAACACACAAGTAAAAATAAATGTCAGTTCCACTCCTCATTTTGCACACAGAAACAAAGAGAGAAGTGTTTTGTTTTTTAATCTTTCCTCGGTGGGCCTTTTTAAAAATTATTTCAGGATATTATGGGGGTACAAACATTTTGGTTACATGTTATGACTTTGCCACATCCAAACCATGATTTGAGGCATGCCCTTCCTCCCCTACAATGCTCACCGCATCCATTCGTTGTGAGTTTACCCACCTCAAACCCCTAACCCCAAAGAATATTACTACTGTGAGAGCACCTTAGTGTTGATCAGTCAGTGCCAGTTTGATGGTGAGTGGTGCCATCAAAGTGGTGCCATGTGGTGCCTATTCTTCTCTTCTTGTGATATCTCACTTCGGAGGATGCGCTCAAGCTCTATCCAGGAGAATATAAGAGGTGCTAGAACACTGTCAATTTTTATAATTTATAATGTTCCATTGTATACATACACCATATTATATTAATCTACTCATGGATTGACAAGCATTTGGGTTGTTTCCACATCCTTGCAATAGTGAATTGTGCTGCCATAAACATTCAAGTGCAGATGTCTTCATTATAGAATGACTTTTGTTCCTTTGGGTAGATGCTTAATAGTGCTATTGCTGGATCAAATAGTATTTCTATTTTTAGCTCTTTGAGACATCTCCAAATTCTTTTCCACAGAGGTTGCACTAATTTGCAGTCCCAGCAGCAGTGTAAGCATGTTCTATCTTTCAACATCCTCACCAGTATTTGTTGTTTTGGGATTTTTTGATAATGGCCAATCTCACTGGGGTTAGGTGATATCTCATTGTGGTTTTGATTTGCATTTCCCTAATGATTAGAGATGTTGAGCATTTTAAAATATGTTTTCTGGCCATTATTCTGTCTTCCTTTGAAAAGTTTCTGTTTATGTCCTTTGCCCATTTATTGATGGGGTTGTTTGATTTTTTCTTGTTGATTTTTTTGAGTTCTAGAAAGATTCTTGTTATCAGCCCTTTATCAGATATGTAGAGAGAAAATATTTTCTCCCATTCTGTAGCTACTTGCTCTAATGATAGTTTCCTTGGCTGTACAAAAGCTTTTTAATTTGATAAGGTCCCATTTATTTATTTTTGTAGCTGCTGTGATTGCTTTGGAGGTTTTCTTCATAAATTCTTTGCCTAGGCTGATGTCTGGAAAGAGTCTTTCCTACCTTTTCTTCTAGGATTCTTAAGGTTTCATGCCTTAGGTTTAAGTCTGTTATCCATATTGAGTTGATTTTTGTAAGAGGGGAGAGGTGGAGATCCAGTTTCAATCTTCTGCATGTAGCTACTCAGTTTTCCCAGCACCATTTATTGAAAGGGATTCTTTTCCTCAGTGTATATTTTTGTCTGATTTGTCAAAGATTAGATGACAATATGTGTATGGTTTCATCTCTGGATTCTCAGTCCTGTTCCAAAGGTCTATGTCTCTATTCTTGTGCCAATACCATGTTGTTTTAGTTACTATGGGCTTGTAGTACACATTGAAGTCTGGTAGACTGATACCTCCCAGTTTGTTCTTTTTGCTTAAGATTGCATTGGCTATACAAGATCTTCTCTGGTTCCACACAAAGCATAGAATTATTTTTTCTAAGTCTGTAAAGAATGATGATGATACCTTGATAGGGATTGCCTTAATTCTGTAGATCACTTTAGTGATCTAGTATGGACATTTTAACAATGTTGCTTCTACCAATCCATGAGCAAGGTAGATTTTTCCATCTGTTTACATGATATATAATTTCTTTTCTTAGTGTTTCATAGTTCTCCCTATATATGTCTCTCACCTCTTTTGTAAATATATTCCTAGATATTTGATTTTCTTTGAGGCTATTGTAAAAGGTAATGCGTTTTTGATTTGAATTTTGGCTTGAGTGTTATTGGCATATAAGATTGCCTCTGATTTGTGTGTATTGATTTTGTATTCCAAGACTTTACTGAATTCATTTATCCATTCCAGGAGTCCCTTTGTTGAATCCTGGTGGTTTTCTAGATATAATATCATATTATCAGCAAAGAGTGATAGTTTGATCTCTTCTGCCCCTATTTGTACACCCTTAATTCCCCTCTGTTGTCTAATTGCTCTAGCAAGGACTTTCAGCACTATGTTGAATAGAAGTGGAGATAGTGGGCAACCTTGTCTGGTTCTAGATCTAAGTGGGAATGGTTTCAATTTTTCCCCATTCAGAACGATATTGGCTGTGGGTTTATCATATATGGCCTTGATAATTTTAAGGTATGTCCCATCTATGCCTATTTTGCTAAGAGTTTTTATCACAAAGGTGTGCTGGACTTTGTCAAATGTTCTTTCTGCATCTATTGAGAGAATCATATGGTCTTTCTTCTGCTTTTATTTATGAGGTGAATTGCATTTATAGACTTGCATATGTTGAACCAGCCTTTCATCTCTGGTATAAACCCACCTGGTCATGATGAATTACTTTTTTGATATGCTGTTGGATTTGATTTGATAAGATTTTGTTTAGGATTTTTGCATCAATATTCATGACGAATATTGGTATGTAGTTTTCTTTTTTTGTTTGTCCTTTCCTGGTTTTGGTATCAAGGTGATGTTGACTTTGTAGAATGAGTTAGGGAAGATACCATCTTCCTCAATGTTGTGGAATAATTTCTATAGTATAGGTATGAGTTCTTTTTGTATATTTGATGGAACTTGGAAATGTAGCCATCTGGTCTGGGACTTTTCCTTTTTGGAAGGTTTTTAATTACTGCTCCAATATCTGTGCTTGATATTGGTCTGTTCAGGAATTCTAATTCCTCCTGGGTGAACTTAGAGAGGTTGTATGTTTCCAGGAATTTGTCCACTTCCTCCACATTATGTAGTTTTGGGGCATATATGTTTTAATAGTATTCAAAGATAATATTTTGTATTTCCGTGGTATCTGTTGTGACCTCTTTTGACCTCCTTTTTTAATTTATAATTGAGTTTATTAGAGTCCTTTCCCTTTGAGTTCATGTCAATCTGGCAAGAGGGCTGTCAATTTTGTTTATCTTTTCAAAAATCAGCTTTTGGTTGTGTTGATCTTCTGTATAATTCTTTTTTTCTCAATTTCATTTGGTTCTGCTTTGATCTTAGTTATTTCTTTTCTTCTGCTAGGTTTGGAGTTGATTTGCTCTTCCTTTTCCAATTCCTTGAGACTGTGTATTAGATTGTTGATATTTGAGCTTTCTGCTTTTTGGATGTGAGCATTTAATGCTGTTAGTTTTCCTCTCAGGAATGCTTTTGCTGAATCCCACAGGTTTCGATAACTTATGGTCCCATTATATTTAGTTTGAAGAATGATTTGATTTCTCTCTGTATTTCCTCCTTTACCCAATAGTTATTCAACAATAGATTGTTTACTTTCCATGACTTTGTGGTGTGTATTTCTGTTGGAATTGAACTCTTATTCTATACCACTATGATCTGAAAAGATACACCGTATTATTTCTATTTTTTTGAATTGAGGTCTGATTTGCGGCCTAGTACGTGACCAATTTTAGAGAAAGTTCCATGAGCTGATGAGAAGAATGTGTATTCAGCTTTATTTAGGTGAAATGTTCTGTAGAGGTCTGTCAGAACCTTTTGTTCTAGAGCTCTGTTTAAGTCCACTGTTTCTTTGCTGACTTTCTATTTGGAAGATCTGTCCAGTTGATTCAGCGGGGTGTTGAAGTCTCCAGCTATTATCTCATTATTGTTTATCATGCTATTTATATCAGACAGGGTTTGCTTTATGTATCTGGGTGCTCCTGACTTGGGTGAATAAATATTAAGAATTGTTAAGTCTTCTTGTTGGATCTTCCCTTTCACCATTATGTAGTGGCCGTCTTTGTCCTTTCTTACTTTTGCTATTTTAAAGCTTATGTTATTTGAAATAAATATAGCTACTCTTGCTTTCTTTTGATTTCCATTTGCCTGGAGGATTGTTTTCCATCCCTTGACCTGAAGTCTGAAAACATCTTTGTGGGTTAGAAGTGTTTCTTTTAGACTGCAGAAACTAGGCTTATGGATCTTTATCCACTCTGCCAGTCTATGTCTCTTCAGAGGACAATGCAAGCCATTCACATTTATTGAGAGGATTGATATTTGAGTTAGATTTCCATTTATATTGTTAGGTAAATTCATATTGTTTTGTTTTACTCCTTGAGCCATCTTGGAGACTAGGTTCTAGACTTTAACTCTTTAAGTGATTTTACTTTGGAGAATGTTTAGTGTGCTGTTCCATGTGTAATGCAGGTCTGAGTACTTCCTGTAGGGGTGGTCTGGTCTTTGCAAATTCCATCAGTGTTTGCTTGTCTGGGAAGGTCTTTATTGCTCCCTCATAGATGAAGCTTAATTTTTCCAGGTAGAGAATTCTAGATTGGCCATTATTCTGTTTTAGAAGATTAAAGATAGGCACTCTATCCCTTCTGGCTTATAAAGTTTCAGTTAAGAAGTCTGCAGTTAGTCTGATAGGTTTTCCTTTATAGGTTATTTGCTGCTTTTGCCTCACTGCTTGGCGGATTGCTTCTTTCATGTTTACTGTGGTCATCCTAATAACTATGTGATGTGGTGATTGCCTTTTCACATTGAGTCTCCAGGGAGTTCTGTGTGTTTCCTGTATCTGGATGTCTAGATTTCTGGCCAGGCCAGGCATATTTTCTGCCATTATTCCATGAAATAAGTTTTCCAGCCCTTGTGTATTTTCTTCTTTTCTCTCCAATAATTCTTATATGTGGCTTCTTTACATAATCCCACATTTCTTGTATGTTTTGGTCTTGTCTCTTGTTCCTAGGTTCTTTTTCTTCATCCAATTTGTTTAGCACATAGGCATTATCTTCAAGTTCTAAGATTCTTTCCTCTGCATGATCCATTCTGTTCTTGAGGCTTTCCACTGTGTTTTGAAGTTCCTTCAAAGTCTCCTTCATTTCCAAGATTTATGTTTGTTTTTTCCATAGTATTTCAATTTCTTTAGACAATTTTTATTATATCCTGCATTGTTCTGGTGGTTTCTTTATGTTGAGTTTCTATGTTCTTTTCAATTCCATTGAGTTTTCTTACAATTTGGTATTCGGAATTCTTCCATATTCGGAATTCTTCCTCTGTCAATTTAACCATATCATGTAAGTTGTTATCTATTTATGGAGATCAAATATTTTCTTTTGGGGGAGACTTTTGTCTATGATCCTTCATATTTCCAGTGTTCTTTCACTGATTCTTTTTCATCAGACTACTTCGTCAAGAACTTGGCGTGCTGGAGCTGGGTTATGGATTTAACTCCAGAACCCCAAAGGGATGTTCCTTGACAGTGCAGGGGAGAAACACTCTGGTCCTGCATTGCCTTAGAGGTGTTTTAGCCTGTTGTGTTGTCTCTGACCTGTTGTCTTTATCTCTTGCCAAAAGAAGATAAGTAAGTTTGGACCCCTTGCTTAGTCTCCCAGGTGGTGAATCACTCTTCTGTGAGTGACTCTGCTGCCCTCTGCTCTAGTTTGAGAAGAAAGGCACTGTGTTGGGCTATGGGGTTACCCTCTCTTTTGTTGCTTGTAGTTTGAGTGGAGGAGTTGTTTATCAAGGTATTCCAATATCTTTGTTTTGGGCTCTAAACCCCCAAATGAGGTATACCAGTGCCCCAATCTTTGGGAAATGACTTGTCACTCCCAAAGGTAACTTGAGCCCTGTTGCCCCTTTGGGGGGGGGGTAAGAAGAGCAAGAGGCGCCTGCAAGCCTGCGAGCATATACTTCTATGGTTGGTTCATTTGCTGCTAAGGGAGAGCTGCTAATATGTTATTCAGGGCTCTTTTGCCACACTGCGAGGCAGCCCCAGGTGGGGGGTGTCAATTTGGTGCAATTGCTGAGGACTCTAGCCAAGATTTTCCTTCCTGGACCACTAGCCCCAAAGCTGGCAGCAGCCTGGGTGTGTAGAGTGAGCCCTAGCATTATGTTCCTATCAGATGATCAAGACCAACCCAATGGTCCCATTAAACAGGCTGTCCCCTTTTGTTTAGTTCCCAGGTCCCACAGATTCACCCCAATCACATAGAGAAAGCGACTTTCCTCCTTTCTTCCTACCTCCAAGGGTGTAGCCTGCCCTGCCGGGCTGGGGAAGCAGTGTTGCCTGAGACTGCCACACGTTCCAGTCCAGAAAACCTCTTCTCTCATTTCTCTGCTCCTCCAAGGGCTGGGTCTGCCCTGCCGTAGGGGAAGTCAAGCAAGTCTAGCCGCAGAGCTGGGGGAGAGGTGCCAGAGGCCGCTGCACAGAAAGAGGCTTCTCTCTTCACTCCGCCTTCCAATGGCGGGTTAGTCAGGGCGGCGTGAAGTACAAGCAGCCAGGCAGGGGGAAGCGCTATCCCAGGCCACAGCGAGTCTCAGCCAAGAGAGCGGCTTCTCTCATTTCTCTGACCGTCCAAGGGTGGAGTTCTGTCAGCCTGAGGGAGAAGCGGCTGGGTGAGGGGAGAAGCTCCTCCGAGTGAGGTGGAAGCCACCGGGCGAGGGGAGAAGCTCCTCCAAGGCCGTCCGCAGCTGCCCAGAAAGCGGCCTCTCTTGCCACTACACCCCTCCAAGGGCGCAGCTTGGTAGGCGAGGGGTAGAAGTGGCCAGGCAGGGGAAAAGCTCCTCTGAAGCTGTGGAGCAACTCAGCCGGGAAAGCGGCCTCTTTTGTTACTCTGCCCCTTCAAGGGCAGGGTTTGACCTGCCTCCATGAAAAAGCAAGAGGCTGAGGGGTAAATGCTGAGGAAGTGGCTTCTCTCATTACTCCGCCCCTTGAAGGGCGGAGTTTGGTCTGAGTGAGGTAGAAGCAGCGGGGCTCCTCTGAGGCTGTGGAGCAACTCAGCCGGGAAAGCAGCTTCTCTTGTTCCTCCGCCCCTTGGAGGGCAGAGTTTGACCTGCCAGCAAGAAAAGGCAAGCGGCTGGGGGCGGAATGTTCAGAAAGTGGCTTCTCTCCTTACTCCCCTCCTCCAAGGCAGAGCCTGCAGGGGCAGTGGCCCACCTGAGTCCATTGCCTGGGCTTGCCCTGCTGGGCTGGAGAAGGGGCGAACACAGCGGTTCTAGGCTATGGGCCCCCAACATGGCGGCTGCCCACCCACGACGAGCCAGCACTGGAGGCGGCTGCTCTGGGACCAGCGGGTGCTGGGCCTGGTAGGCTGTCTGAACAAGCCGCGGCTGGCTGTCCCCACTGCTTCCCTGACACACCGACTCACGCCAGTCCTGTAGGGAGTCCTGCACTCTCCATTCCACCCTGCGCCGGCTGGCCAAATCTCCGGCGATTTCCTGAGGCAGAGCCTCTCCCTCGGTGTTCGCCTCCCTTGGTCTGGTCCGGGTGGCCGCCAGAGGCAAGAAGCCTGTCACCAAACTGCCTCCCACAGACCCGGGAAGTGTCCCTCAGACCAGCCCCTCCCCCGCCCGGTGTGGACCTAGTCGGGTGCCCTGGAGAGTTCCAAATGTTTCCCGCCTTTGTCTCTTCCCCGCACTGCCTGCAGGCTGGGGCCTCAACTTCACACTGACTTCAGACGCTTCCCTGCCTGAGTGGATGTGGAGGTCGGTGGAGCAGGCGTCATCCTCCTGTGGGTCAGATCACACCACCCCAGCAGGCCTGCGCTGTATTCCCTATTGTGTACCTCCCACCCTCCGGACTTAGCGGTCAATTCTCCAATTCACCTTTTTTTTTTTTTTTTTTGTAGCGCTGCTTCTCTGCAGATTCACCATGCTGTTCCTGTGGGAGAGCCATCCACATGTGTGTGCCTGTTCCCCTTCTTCGCCTCCCACTCTGGGAGCAGAGAGCCAGGAGGTCGCCGCTAATCCGCCATTTTTTTTCTCTCTCAGAGAAGTGTTATTCTCTGAAAAGAAGAGGTAAGAACATACGGTCTCCTACTCCAGGCCAGAGCTTGGGCACAACAGCTTCTTCCCCAGAGGGACTGAGCATTCTAGGAGAAGCTGCTGGATTGATCATCTCCAAGACAAGTTCACAAACGTTCACATTTGTGTGTGTCTGCCCCCAGTGCATCTTTTCCCTCTGCTCCTTTGCTCACTTCTCTTCTGAAAAAGTGGCAGGTAAGAATTTAGTTTAACACTATTGTTTACTTTTATCTTCCTCTCCTGTGTCCTGTTTTCCCACCTATAATTTCCTTTTATAACTTACAATTTTGAGCACACAATTCAACTAAAAATTGGAGTGGTAACATTTCTGCTTTTACCTGCTTTCAGGTATCATTGTTTTGATAGTCTGGATGGGGTGGCCCCATTTTTCAATTTCCTGACAACATCTTCCTTGAAGAGACTCTCCCTGCCTGCTGTCTTTTGTCGTCTGCCGCTGTCTGCATCCTGCTCAAGGACAGCCTCAGAGGTACACTACCATTTCATGTCTAGCTGTTGCTTGACTTGTGGCACTTGGGTAGAAACTGTCTTTCGTCTTTCTCTTAGCTTCAGTGATACTTTTTTCTCAATAAATTATGCTCTTTCAAACAGATGTTGAGGAATATGACATTCGGAATACAGAATAGTTGCATTCTAACATATACCTTCATCAGACAGTAGCTAAAGATGAAAGGGAACTCACTGATGTGGAAAACCAGTGCAAAGGATTTGCATGTCTTCCCATGCCCTCCAACTGGCTCCACCTACCCATACTTTCCCATAAACTATGGTTTTTGAATTTTCAAGTTTTATTTGCAAACTTCTTTCTCCCACTGAAGAATCACAGAATTGGAACAAAACTAAACTACACCCAAACCCCTTTAGCCCTCTTACTTATATAATAATACTTATTTGCTGTAGGAAATTTATAAAATACAAAGAGTTAACCTAAAAATATAGGTATATGTATATATAATGCCTAGAAATTGGAACTGTTAATATTTGCATGTATTTCTTCCAGATATTCTTCTTAGAAGGTTTTTGGAAGTATTTTTTAGAAGTCATGCACAGCATCATGACATTTCAATCAATGACTAATTGCATATACCGTGGTGGTCTCTGAGATTATAATGGAGCTAAACAATTCATAGCGCCTAATGATGAGGTACTCACTGAAAGTCAAAAGTCATAGCTCAACTCACGTATCTATGGTGGTGCTGGTGTAAACAAACCTACTGCACTGTCAGTTGTATAAAAGTATACCACATACCATTCCAGCACATAATACTACTTGATAATAATAATAAATGACCATGTTACTGGTTTATGTATTTACTATACCATACTTTTTATTGTTATTTTAGAGTATACTTATTCTCCTTATGAAAAAAATAGTTAAGTGTAAAACAGCCTTAGGGAGGTCCTTTTGGAGGTATTCCAGAAGAAGGCATTGTCATCATAGGAGATGACAGTTCCATGTGTGTTATTGCCCCTGAGGACCTTCTAGTGGGACAAGATGTGAATGTGGAAGACAATGATATTGATGATCTTGACCCTAGGCTAATGTGTATGTTTGTGTCTCAGTTTTAAACAAAAAAGGTTTAAAAAGTAAAAAAAAAAAAAAACCTTAAAATAGAAAACAAGCGTATAGAATAAGGACATAAAGAAAATATCTTCGTACAGCTGTAAGATGTGCTTGTTTTAAGCTAAGCATTATTACAAAAGTCTAAAAGTTTTAAAAATATTAAAAAGTTTATAAAGTAAAATAGTTACAATAGCTAATGTTAATTTATTTTTGAAGAAAAAAATCTTTTTATAAATATAATGTAGCCTAAGTGAACAGTGTTTATAAAGTCTACAGTAGTGTATGGTATTGTCCTAGGCCTTCAGATTCATTCACCACTCACTGACTCACCCATAGCAACTTTCAGTTTTGTAGACTCCATTCATGGTAAATGCCCTATACAGATGTACCATTTTTATCTTTTATGCCATATTTTCTATGTTTACATATACAAATACTTACCATTGTGTTACTATTGCCTACAGTGTTTAGTACAGTAACATCCTATGCATGTAGGTTTTCAGCCTAGGAGCAATAGGCTATACCATATAGCCTAGATGTGTAGTAGGCTATACCATTTGGTTGTGTAAGTACACTCTATGATGTTCACATAATGACAGAATCACTTAAGGACACATTTTCCAAAATGTATCCCTGTCATTAAGTGATATGTTACTGAATACTTATCTTTCAAAATAAAAATAAGCTTTCAAAATTTGTGCCTGTAGAAGTAAAACATCTTTTTAAAAAATTAGATAACCCCAAAAATATACATATTAAGATAAAAATACCATAATTCCCCCTACCCAGGAATACCAACATAGGTTTTTGGTATACATAATTCTATATTTTTTTCAGATATATCTGTATTTTTATCTACATATTTATCTATATCTTATCCTTCCTGTGTTTTTTAAACAAAGCTTGAAACACATTAAATATATTGTAACTACTGATACCTTTCTCTTCAGTGTGGACTGATTTACACCATTGGCTTTCAAAATTTTTGTGCCACGACACACAATGAGAAATACATTTTAAACTATAATCCAGTACAGTGTGTATACAATGCGTATTATATATTTATAATCAAAATAAAAGTTTCACGAACCAATACTCACCTCCATTATGTATGATCTACTCTGTTATTTTCTATTTTATTCTCTTTCATTTTTAAAAAATGCTGGTTATGACCCAGTAAATTGATTTCAAGACCTATTAATAGGTTGTGACTTGCATTTTGAAAAAACATTCTCCCATGCCACAATTTTAATAGCTTTATTATATTTTGAACCCCAGAGTTTTTAAGTTGCATAGAATCATAGAGGAGCTCTTTTCCAAGCCTCTTCATTTTATGTGAAGAGGGGTGAAAAGTTTATTTTCTCAATAGCTGGGATGAGAATTCTCCTTAGGGAGGGAATTTTCTTTGTTTAGGGAAATAGTTTCATAAATGCTTATTGAGAGGTGTGTTGCAGGGGAAGGAGTAGCCGAAACACTCAACACAAGAAATAAACAGGAATTTGGAATAGAGAGCTCTGAGTCACATAGCAGAGGGGAGGGCAGAACCTGAGTTAACAAAACAAAGGACATTTAGAAACAAGAATATGTAGTATTGAATTGATATTATTTGCTGTGCTGTAAACCCATCTACCAGCTCAAGTTTTCAGTAAGGTTTAACATTAGTTCGGGTCTCTTTCAGGAGCAAGTGATAGAAATACAACCCAAATTGGATTAAGAGAAAATAAGCTAGGAGTGTTTGTTTGCCTATGAAATTGAGTATACCAGGCATGGCTGGATCCAGGGTTTTAACTAATGGCATTGAAACTTGGTGTCTCTTTCTATCTCTTCTATTTTGGCTGCACTCTTAGGTGTTGATTCCCAATATATAGTTTTTCTTTTCCAAAAATACCCAATACTATGTTGGTTTAATTGACTAGGATCATGTGACCATCTTTGAGCCAATCATTGTGGCCAGGGGAGTGGAGTGCTCTGATTGGCCAGGAGTGGATCATGTGTTCACAGAGATGGAGTTACATCCATCTCCACTTGAGTTGAAGTGGGCAGAGAAGGAATGGTTTCCAGAAAATTGGGTTCATATAAGGAGAATCAGTGGTGGGCAACAAATGCTACATGTGACTACAACATGCTCATTTACACAAATACCTAAGGTGAGTGGTTAGCGTGATGGAGATTAAGGAAGAGGCTGAATTCCTCATCTGCCTTCCCCAATGCAGAATAGGACCCCACAGTGGGACATCAAGATGGGCCCTAAATAGAACTATGATCAAAAGAAAATCTCCCCTGGAAGTTCACAGAAATCTTGTAGGAGGCATTGGATTTTCTACAATTTGTACAGCGTGTCTATCAATTTTGTTGACATCTCTCTTCCCCAACGTGTCCTTTACATCGCTAAAGTAGCGTTCTCTTTCTTCTGCTGCTTCCATCAAACCTGGAAATGTCCCAAAGTCTTGTTTCCCTGTACTTACCCTTGTGAGCCCCAGACCAGGTCCGGGAGCTGCAGCTCTGCACGGAACCAGCAGAAGGAGCTTTAGTGGGAATGGAGGAGTCAGGCTCCAGGCTGTTTAGGAGACTAGAAGGAAGCTCAGGGTCTTGGAGAGAGTCACAGGATGCAGGACCCAATAGAAGAAGCAACCCCCCGGGCGATGTCAGCAGAACAAGAAGGAACAACTGAGACAGAGCAAACGGCAAAAGAAAGGGGATTTATATTTATTGCTCATTTCCTGTTTACTGGACTTTCTGTATGTTTTATTAAATCTTTACAAAAATTTTCGTTTCGGGGAACACAAATTAGCTCAGTGAGGATTAAGGAAGGGAGTTGGAGGTCAGGGTGGGGATCAGCAGAGGCCATACTATGAGGGACCTTGAATTTGGCTGGATGAGTGAATGAATGAATGAGTGAAGGGAGTTAACACCTTGTGAAAGTTGTCAGAGTTAAAATGGAGTCACTCATGTTAAGAGAACCCTGACAAATAGAACCAGGGAAGGCTACAAAGAGAGGGTTCTCATACTATTATGAGTGATAACAAAAACTCTCCCAAAAGATTGCAAAAACCACAACCTTGCACAAAGGCCATGAGAACCTTACGCAAAAAAATACTTCTACAAGGACATCTGCCCAGCAACTGTCTTGTCTAACTTCAGACTGGTGTCACCCCTGTTATTGATCTTTGTAGCCAAAGATAATTAGTTCTAAACAATTATGTGATCTTCATCATTTTTTTCCTTTAAGGATTTTTGCCTTCCTTTACCTCCCTTAATACACACACAGTTTACTATGGCATGCGTGTTACCATTGCAATGCTCTATTACTAAATCAATTTCTTTTAGAGAGCCTCTCTTTGTTTGTGATTTAGGTTGACAACCTGTATTCATTTGCTCAGGCTGCTGTAACAGAGTACCACGAACTGGGTGGCTTAAAGCAGTGGTCCCCAGCATTTTTGGAACCAGGGGCTGGTTTCATGCGCATTTATTATATTTGCAGCTGCTCCACAGCACCGATCTGGCAGGCGGTAGAGCTCAAGCCGTGATGTGAGTGATGGGGAGCTGCTGTAAATACAGATGAAGCTCTGCTCACCCACTGCTGTGTGGCCTGGTTCATAACAGGCCATGAACTGGTACCAGTCTGCAGCTCCAGGGGTTGGGGACCGTGGGTAAACAACAGAAATGCATTGTCTTACAGTTCTGGAGGTCAGAAGTACAAGATCAAGGTGTTGGCAGTGTTTGCTTCTTTTGAGGGCTGTGAGGGAAGGATCTGTTTCAAGCCTGGTGGTTTGCTGGCAATCAGGTGTTCCTTGGCTTGTAAATGCATAACCTGATCTTTGCCTTCATCTTCACAAGGCGTCCTCCCCATGTGCATGTCTGCGTCCAAATGTTCCCATTTTCAAAGGACACAGTCACATTCGATG